AAAAAAACGTTAAGTTAAATTTCCTCCTCATAGTGGTCCTCAAATCTAAAGATCTCTTACAGGTTTAGGGCGCACAGCAACATCTCTGCATGTGCATCACGCTTTTCTGAACATTTCCCCTCCACCTCTCCTCAACTATGACGCGAAAATGTTGATGAACAATATTTTTTTACGCTTTGCCTTATCGCAGCACATGAAAACACGAACCAATCAGAACGGGGGGCCTAATGGTGCAGCCAATTTCAAGCGCGGGAAAGTACGTGCGTGCAAATAACTACTCGTCTTGCTTCTGCTTGTGATTGGTTGAAAGAGTATAGGAGCGACATTTCTTAGCAAATCCCAAATTTCCATTCACTCAACAATTCGACGGAGTACAAGCCAATCAGAAGAGAGGGCGAATGTTGTCGCCACTGTCAAGCGCGGGAAATAACGCGCTTGCAAAAAACAACTCGTTTAGCTTCTGCTAGTGATTGGTTGAAAAAGTACAGAAGCGAAATTTTTTAAAGCAAATTACAATTTTCCATTCATTCACAAAACGATGGAGTGCAAACCAATCAGGGGGCGAATGGCGCCGCCAGCTTCAAGCGCCGGGAAAAGTACGCGTTTGGGATTAGTTGAAAACGTACAGACGCGAATTTTTTTGGGCCAATCACACATTCCATTTACTCACAGGTTACTAAATGTTGTACGAAAAGGAAGACTAACGCATTTATTTTTCTTACCAGAACAGTCGAGAGACCTCGCAAGCTCAGCCACCATCACCTCGATTATCAGACCCACACGTAGCCTCAGCATCTCGTTAAACAAGGATGGTTCTGTTCTTACAAAGATACCAAGGTACACAAGCAGCTCCTGTAAAAAAAACGCTGGGATAATGTTCGAAAGAGTAACAAGCACGGACAAACGAGACCAGGGTTCGTAAGAGGAGTATTCCAGGGTCATAATGAGGACATTCCAAGACAACGGCCTTTCTTCCAAGGTCTGGTTTAAAAAAAGCAGTTTGAAGGCTAAACGTTCTTAAGCCTCAGGCTGAAGAATTTTAGGTGATACTCTCGTAAACGAGTAATCACCAAAGGCTAGGGAGTGCCGGCGAGTTTCAGGCTTTTGATCGAAGGTCAAAATGCTCTTGCTCCAATGCTTTACTTTCCGTAAGTTTCACATGATGAGGGTCAAAGCGCGCATTATTACGAGTGATAGAAGGTGCAAACGCCACGCCTGTGATCATATTGCGTTCATTCTTAGTGGAATGCTGGCTGCATACGTGCCAAGCATGCGCAATAGAAACCTGGAGATTAGGATTGTGGGCTCCTCTGTTCGCCCGCAATAAATTCAATTATTTCATTACAAGTTATTCGCCGAAAAAAAAAAAAACTCAGGTACGCGATCGCGTACTTATGAGAACACACACTATTTACCTGAGTGACGACCCCAGTGCTCATATCCTCACCAAACACACTAAAAATTATGTTTTTCATTTCATCAGGTGGAAGAGGTCTACACAAACAGAGAAAGAAACAATATATCAACGGTATTTTCTAGTAACACATACACGATGCGACACTGGTATCATAGGCCATTTCCGAGTTCCAGAAACTCTTACTCTGAAAACGAGACAACGTGCAAAATCTTTCCT